CAGCTATCCAATTATAATCCGTCGGGTCCTTTCTCCATTTGCACTCTAGCCGTCTCCTGATTCGCTTCAACACCCGGAGATCCTGGTTAAACCATGGCGCCGGGCGAGCTCTGCGTTGGAGAGGGCGTTTAGGTGCGATCGTGTCTACAGCCCTGACCACAGCGGTGAACCAGCTGTCGGTCAGAGCCTCGACAGGAGCGCCAGCCAGGTCTGCCATAGCACCTCTCATGGCATCCTGGAATCCAATAGGATCCAGTAGCCTTCGAGGGCGGACCATAACAATAGGTCCCTGCTCCCTACGAGGGGGGAGGGCCATGTTGAGGTTACATTTTATTAGGTGGTGATCCGACCATGACAGAGGGACTGACTCTAGATCAGTCACCATCGGACCACTCTCGCTCCAAATGGAGGAAAAAACCAGGTTGAGTGTATGGCTGCCCACGTGGGTGGGGCCGATGACATGTTGGGACATGTTCAAGAAGGCCATGGTCTCCAAGAACTCAAGAGCTGGTCCGGAAATCTCTGCCCCCGCATGGACGTTGAAGTCCCCCAAAACCAACAGCTTAGGGGAACCCAACAGTGCTGCGGAGACAAAGTCCACCAGCTCCGGTAGGGAAATGGCTGGGTTGCGGGGAGCACAGTAGCCCAGCAAGATCCCAATTGGAAGGAAGTCTTGTATATTATAACAAACAAACAAAAAACAAATAATAGGACAGTTCTATGCCAAGTCGGACACAACTTAGCAACTAAACAACAAACAACAAGGCCAAGACAACACATAGTTGCCTGAAGATAGAGGATGTTGGTGGGAAGGGCTTAGCCTATGTGAGGTGAAAGCCACTAGAGATCTGACAACCTGTTATGCTTTGCTCAGGATTCCTCGCACGTAACTGCAAAGCCGCTAATGCCTTTCCTCCCCCTGTGAGAGGGTTTAATTCTCCCTTACTCCTCCACCCATCCCCCTTAGAAACGATGGAGGGAGTCTAGTTCATACTCAAATCATCCAACCTTTATGAATGGCTCTGGTAACTTCTCTACTACTAATTCAAACAGTTCTCACTTGGAGTCAAAGGGCAAAGACATAAAAATTCTTATCATCCTGGGGTATCTAACTCATCCTGTGCTTTGGATCATCTCCTGGGTGGGATTCCATAAGTTCTCTCTTGTCCCTCTAGTCTTTTCTTTGATCTTCCTTTCACATTCTATGTGGTGGTATTCTCTTTTTCTCTCCCTCAAATAGAGGTTTTTTTAAAGGAGGTTTATGTTTCCCTGCTTCTTCTTGGGGGACCTTAAACTGGACCATCTCCCTCGTCCATGGATCCCCTTTGGTGATCATAGAATCATGAAGTTGGAAGGGCCCTCTAAGGCCATCAATCCGACTTCCTACTCTGTGCAGGAATACATACCAAAGGATATCTGCGAGGTGGTTGTCTAAACTTCTCAGTGAGGGAGCACTTGACACCTTTTCAGATCATTGTTTCCTTTTCCAATGAAATGCCGTGTGAGGCAAGCAGTGCCAGTTCATGAGCTGTTCTATGAGGTCACTGCTATTTTACCTCACAAAGGCATTTTTTTTAGTAAGTGGGGGAGGAAGAAGGCAGTGTTCTGACATCCAGCTGCTTGTTTTGTCATTGATCACTCTCTGTTATGCTTATATGGTACCCAGAGCATTCAAATCACTCTCTGAGCTGATGACAATCCTGCAGACTACATATCCCCACCCCTACACCACCCCTGGAGCTGACTGCTCAATTTTCCAACCCCAAAAGGACTGAAGGGTGAATCAGCCTTGACTCATGGAATTGAACCTGGCTCATGAGCAGAGTTTTGGCTGCAGAACTGCAGTTTAACTAGTGCGCCACCAGGTACCTCTACCTACTGGTGCTGATGTACTTTGAAAGCTGACAGATCACTGAAACATTTCCCACATACTTTGCATGTATAAGGTTTTTCCACTGAATGAATTCGTTGATGTTTGGTGAGGTTTGAAAAGGAGCTGAACGGTTTGCCACATATTTTACATTGATAGGGTTTCTCCCCTGAATGTGAGCGCTGATGTGCTATCAACTTTGAGGGAGCACTTAAACATTTCTCACATTCATCACATGCATACCTTTTTTCTCCGGAGTAAATTCGTTGGTGTGCTACACGAGCCATCATGGGGAATCGAACCATTGAATTCCAGATCCACACTCCACTCACTGGTTTCTCCATCCAGCAACTTTTAAAAACACTTCTTCATGATTGGTCTTCTGCATATGTAAAAGGAGAGAATTCATGGTGATTAAAGGATTTTGCCATTTAATAGGGAAAATATCTATCGATAAGCAAATTTCCTGCTGCCTCTCCTTTCTGTGCTGAGAAAACAGTACATCACAATTGTATTACTGAGTTGAGCGGGAGGTTGGACTTGATGGACATGATTCTATGATTCGTGACCTGGTTTTCAACCTTCTTGACCTACAGAATCAGTTTTCCAGTCTCAGTGCTAAAACTTTTAGGTGGACCTGAACAAAAAATGAGCGGAACGGCTGAGCACTTAAGTCCAAGAACATTTATTTTGCATCGAAGGGGAATGATAAAGAGGATGGAAATGCAAAAGGTCCTATCACAAAATAAAGTGTTTTTCTAAACCAGGTATAGCTGGATAGAGAGATCAGTGAGTGGAGTGTGGATCCAGAGTTCACGGGTTCGATCCCGCAGGATGCTCCTTCGTCCTTTGTAACTTTGTCTCAGAATATGCTGCCTTTTCTGTTCAGGAGCATTAAAACTATCATAGGGGTGAGTAGAAATCCCCATCCCAGTTACCCTAAAAGAAACACAGTTTTAAACAGATGTCATGAAGGCATTGTTTACTAGAAGTGTTCTGAAAACAATGAATCAGCTACTACACCAGAAAGATCACTGAATGAAAACAATTTTTGGCAAACTCCTGTTCTGTTTTCCTTCCAATCCATACAAAAGAGGCATAAAAACAGTAAACAGGGCTTCTGCAGCAGCAATGGCGGCAGCCCCGGACCACCGTGAGGCTTCCGTCAGTGGTGGAGAAGCCCTCGGAGAGCTTCAGCAGCGGTGATGGTGGCGGTGACAGACCCTTTCGGACCGGTAAGGTGTTGCTTTTTGCATTTATTTTCCTTTTTGTTTTTAGGAGAGACTGGCTCC